CTCGATCAGATGGTTAGTCTCGGAAAAAGTCAGTAGATATAACCAGGATCCAGGGCTGACGTTTTCCCAATGAAATCCCCATAACCAAATTTATAGAGCATGTCAGATAAGTTGATCTACACAAGATACAATGAATCAACTTTATTTCAGGAGGGAAACAGACGAGCTGTTAAGGTTGAAGCTGAGTCGAGAAGGCCGTTGATGTGATTAGAGCGAACAGCATCTCTAATTAACTCAATTAAAAAAACTTTGTTTCATCTTAGTTCAGCGTATTCGACCACCGCTCATAGGAAAGATCACACACCCATTATGATCTCCTAGGCGATTAAAGTAGGGTGTTGTAGGCCAAAAATAATAACAAATAAACCAATGATCCACACAGACACAAGGAGTTTAAGTAGGAAGATGATGTTTTGGCAAAAAGAGCAGTTATCCTTTCGCACCAAGCATGACGTTAGCTAAAAAGTTTTTCATGAAAACGAGTTTATGTTTGGGGCACTGTCGGTGCGATTGGGCTCAGAATAGCCCCGTGTTGACTCAAAAATTTTATATCTTAAATGCAAGCTAAACTTAAAGGTACAAATCGAAGAGACTTGTCTGTGACAGGACAAGAACTTCGTCTTCAGCAACAGAACCATAGTTTTTGGTCCTGTTGTGTGGCTTTTTTTTTTTTTTGAGAAAACAGGGTTTTTAAAAGCCTGTGCTGCGGAATCATTTTTGGATAATTGAGTAGGATTGAGTAGGAGAAAAGCTCAGCCGGTACCTAAGTCATTTCAGAAAAAACTACCGGTGGTAGCAGGATCAGGCTGCATTTTCCTTTTGCTGATTTGATGATTTGCTGGTTTAAATGAGCGGAATTCAGGCGGATGTTTTGAGTGAGTATGGATAATTTCGAAACTTCAGGCAAAGGTACCCGCTTTGTCTCCGGCGAAATCCATCTTTGGGGTCTGATCCGCTTCCATACATATAAACGGAAGACTTTTTCACCACAATGTGACACGAAACTGTGGTTTAAGCAACGCCTTGGTCTTCGTAAAAATAACGATGAAGATAATATGTCTGCTAGATCTGGTAGTCACAGAGGTAATATCAAATGTGTTAGCGTGACTGCAAGAGATTGTTGACAACGGCGACTAGTGAGAAGGAGATCTTCGACGTAATCACATCTTCGGGCCTGTGGAAATCAAGCGGAACGAACTACATGTTGTGTATTTTTCCAATTCTTCTGAACATCTTTACTATCGTCATGATCGCATAGCATATAAGTGTCGGAGCTGTCAAGCGGGCTTGTCACAGCATTATCTCTTATGCACGTATCCTTAAGTGTTTACTAACATAGGATGACAGAAACTGAGCTCCAAGTGTAAGGTGTTGTCGATGGTTTTTCGAGGTCACGGGGACATGTGAGAATAGAACGTGCACTAGAGCATTTCGCATCGCACCGATAGTAGTAGTCCGGTAGGATCGACTCGTAGAATCACATAAGAGATGATCTTATAGCCGGTCAGGATTCTATGCAGAACGTAATTTCACATAGGTGGTAAATATGTCAGGTTCGAGAAGTAAACTTTAACTTCCACCGATGCAGACTCAATACGACTTACCTTAACTAGCTCTGTGGAAGGCAGCAGGTCAGGAACCGATCAGTAGCACTTGATGTATACCCTAGGCACTAGAAAATCCACTGACTTAAGTGGTCGAAAACACTTACAGACTCTGGAAACGTACCGAGGCAAGTGTACCAATTTAAGTTCGGCTCAATGACCTCGTGCTAGAAATGGACTAACAATAGCTGCGTTGACCGAACGTCGAAGGACCAGACTCGTTAGGTCAGAAAAATCTACCACTTGTGGGGTGTCTGTCAAATCTGCTAATTCCTAAGCCACTAACGATAACACATAAACGTTAATTCGAAAACAATTAACGAAAATCAGCGGACGATAATTAGCAGCCCGAGTACGTTCTACTTTGTTGCCAAATAAAAACAATTTGGTGAAACAATCACTTCGCTAAAGCTAATACAAGGCGGGCCTACGCCAAGCAATAGATATTCAATCAATAATGCAGCTGCTAGAAGACGACCGAATGATGACGCTATTTCCCAATTGCTTTTGTGTCATTGGCGGCAACGTAGCCCCACCTAGCTTTCGTACTTTCAGAAGCTATCCGAATTTTGAATACGCTGACATTGCCCTGAACGACGCATGCCTCTTCTGCCGAGTCGATGTTAGCACTACTAGGTATCTAAATTGGATCTTCCGGTTCGGCCAGCGCCTACACTCATGCGTCTCTACACCTAGGTAGTTGTCAAAATAGAACTATTCTATAGTCTATTATTCCACAAAATAGCAACATTATCGGTTGGAATTTTCTATCACTGCAATGAAGTCTACGGAGTTCGGCGCTGTTTAATGGGTCACTCACGGTTTCATCAGGTAAGTTTCATAAGTATAAACTTAAACATGCATGGCTTAATGTTTAAGACAAACATACGACTACTGGTAGGACTAACCAGTTTCTCTTTAGCTGCAATAAAGTATAGATACCGTATATAGAGTATAGCCATGTTGGACGCACATGGCTTCTGCATATATATGTTGCTTCTTACAACCTTACAATGTGCTTCCACCATGCCAAAAATCATAGTACTATTATACGACCAGTGTCACCGTACGTCCTCATCCCACGGCTCCGCTGCGAGCACAATTCATGTAATATCAAATTAAGCCTTGTAACATTTCCACCGCCATATTTGCAGTCCCTGCAAGAAGTCGTTCTCCCAGCGGCTACGCATGGATCACCATTTAAGAACAACCTCTACTTCGTCACATACCAGCGAGGTTGTGTCATCTATGCCATCAATGCGTGTAGTTGAGAAGACACTCATATTTAAAATTTACCCGAAACATAGATAAATTACCTGGAATACTGTTAATCGTAAGTAAAATAGTTCAACATAAAAGGTCAGTGGCCACCTTCTGGCGTCGTAATGATCATAGGCCTCTATTAAAAAACACAAAACGATTGAGACAAAAATTATGCTTACGACTTCATGTAAAAACAAAGGGTTTAAGTTCAAGGAAACGTCAGACTTACTGTCAAAAAAGAAGTAGTTTTACAACTGTTGACGTAGTGACTGCAATAAAATTAAATCATAGTTAGTTATGTAAAAAATGATCAACCTCAAACGCCCTTATATTCTAAAATGATAACATGATTTACATATACGCAGCATCATAAAGTACTGCTGACTGACACCGGCAAAGAAAGAACCTGATTATACGAGCATGTTTAAATACGAGCACAACCCTCGTATAAAGCAAGGTGGGCTTTCTACCCTGCGGTCCTTTATCGTACCAAGAACAGGAGCGGCATTGTTATCCTGTCTGTTCCCAATCTGTTTAATGTCATAGATGTGGTACGTTTTAGAGGACTGAAGTTGATTATTTTTGCTACTGAACACGCTAGAATCGTGCAAAATTTTGCCTACTTCAGTGTTAACGTATCAATTGTGTTCTGCGTAATCACACAGATGAATAAACGTTGAAATACGTTCAGGTCTTTTCTTTCTTTTTTAAAGATAGCGAGTTTATGCTGCACAAACTATACATCACTGAGCGCTTACTGAGCTCGCTTAAGGCCATTAGTTTTTTGAAGCATGGGCGGCCCATCTCCATGTTTCTGTCAACTTCTCTTTCGTAATGAACGAACTCGTAAGATCCCTTGTGGCCATTAATGGGGTGCGTTTTTTAATGTGTAATTTAGATTTGATGGATTCATCTGTAATCTGATTAAAGGGGTGTAATCTAATGACTCAAAGAACAGTGTTTATCGATAAAAAACATTCAGTTTGAGCGGACAAGATATAACATTTACATGGGGAATTAATAAGTAACATTTCATTAAGGGATCAGGTACGATCTTCAGGTTAGCTGGGCTTTCCCAATTTTGTTGAATGTTGGGTATGGGCTGGTCTCATGGAAGGACACTCACACAACGACCACGAAAAATATATTACAACAATAACACCCAAAGCGGGAAAACGTCAAGTTACACATTTTGTTTACAACATATGACACTTCATTGGCATGCAGCAAACAAAAACATAAATGTTTTCCCGCAAAATATCAATCCAACTTTAAGGCGCTCCAGACCGTTGCACCACTGTCGTACTAGTACAAGAATCCTCACTGTAAAAAGATTTAGCAATCTGTTCCATTCCCTATATGGGATTATTGAACTTACCGTACACGAGGTTGTCTAGATTCGAAACTGTGCATAGACACACTGCGTTTCGTTAGCTATTTAAAGCGGTGGTCAACAGCATTATTAATGGGCGTACAAACAGAGACATCTATTTTAATACAAATGCAGTGGGACACTAGGTGTAAAGAAATACCCGAAAAGCAAATCTTCAGCGTATCTAGTTGCCACCGTCAAATCCTGCACGGTTTCATCTGTTATACCAACTGGAATAGACAATTGGCCTGAATGCGGCTTTATATTCATGCTGCTAACACAACGGTTCATTTTCACTACCTGAAGCTATGAGGGATAAGCAAGATTTTATTTGCTTCTTTGAAAGCATATTTCTATTCTCTGATCGTGGAGGAGGTCGTAAATGATTTTTGCGGAAAATAGCTAGAATACGGTAAATGTATATTGAAGCCTACGGTAGCCGTAGCTAAAGAAAAAAGATTTAAGCACTTCAATTTATACTTCGCTTATTAACGGGTCTTTGACAAACAGCCTGCGCTGCAAATCGAAGTAATGTATTCGAATACATACGAGTTTGCCACATATATATATATTCTTCTTCAATTATTTTGGTGTATCATAATCATTTTATATGTATAGTGGTGTAATGCATTTTTTGCTGCGGCGTTTGGTAACTTATGGAGGTGTAGTTTCATTCTCTTAAAGATAGCCCCTTTCATTTATTTTTCTCTACTGGATCAGCACAGATCAATGGCATCATCACAACACAGTTTTCCACGGGCAATGTAAACACTGCGTAGAGAAGACCGGTGGTCGGTTCTGTAGAACGACGAAAAGCTCCGAATAACGTAGCATTTCATGGCGATGGCGCGTTCGGCGATCACTTGTGGGCTTCGTGCAGGTCATTTTGCAATGCCACACTCGGCCATAGCCTGCGGACAATTCGTGCGCGGTAGCAGATACAGCCCGAGATACATCGATCCACTAACTGCTGATCGAACCGAAATCGAAGAGTATCGAAAGACTACCGAAGGTATGTCCTGGCGATGAAAAGCGTGCGAGATCATATTTTGGGTGATGTTTCTTGTATCAGACAAGTCCTACAACACAAGACAGACAATAGTTGCTGGGCAATAATGTTTTTTGATATTTTTAAGGGCAATTTCGGTGGTCGAGATATGCTCAACGAGATATGCGAGCCACCCGTAATTAACAGAACATTTGTCATTATTTTCCTCAGGGAAGCAATGCTAATCAATCTGTGTGTTATCTTATTTCTTTTTCGAGAAAGCAGTTTTTGTGCGAAAGTGATTCTATAATAGACATATTCATAGCTAATAAAAAACCTACCACCACTGGTCTATTTAATTGTTTCCGACAGGCTATGAAAAAGAAGGTTTCTAATTTGTGGCTTAGTCTCAGCTTCTACTGCTTTTTTATTGAACAACTTCGAATTTGGATTCTCAAGTATTACAATGGGGTCATCTGAACGGGGGCTAAAATATAACTAGCCTCATTTCAGTTCCCCGGCGAAACTTATGAAGAGCAGCCTTGGACTGCTAAGCGTCAGCCGCATTGTAAAATACTATAACTCACGATTTCTTCAATTGATCACGATTGCCGCTATTAGTGTATCAAGTGAGATAAGAAACCAAAGACGCAATCGGTTTGTCAAGAATTAGAATGAAGCACTATACAGAGTGCGCTGTTCATAAAACCGTGCTGCTTAGCAAATGGGGATAGGTATACAAATATACAAGGGTTTTAGGTTAAAAATAGATGCATGGGAATTGATAATAAAACCGAATTAATTGAAATTGAATAGTATAAAGATAATTTAATGGAGTTATGTTTTTTTTTTTTTAGCTGATATACCCCTAGCGTTATTGATCAGCTAGACAAATCAAATGCTAATTCGTTCTTATTTTACTATAGTGACAGTAGTTCGAGAGAATTGTTGCCCGTATTGCTCATGTTTTTTTTTCGTTTCTGGTCGTATATGTGTGCGTGAATGCAAGTTAAATTCGCACAAAACTGTATAGTGACTTATAGAATAACTGAATCGTATAACGAAAGCTTTGTCGGGTATACACGACAACGCAACGATGACTCAACATTGGGTGACAGTAAATCATGGCTCTATGCTCATAGTTTTTTTCGATGATCGTTCATTTTTGATATTTCAATTTTGTTTCTTGGGCTTCCAGGCCAAGAAGCAGCGTTCCGTCCGGTGAAAGCCGTTCGGTCCGAGGTCTCTAACTCAGTATTTTATGACCCAGTTCTGGAGAAGTTCACGAATTTTCTTATGCGGAAAGGCGACAAACGACTGGCAACGGACTTGGTTCGCAAGGCACTGTTTACTATTAAGTTCATAAGACCTCCACAGTTTGAGCACCCATTGGCTGTCCTCGCGACAGCCATCGAAAATGCAAAACCTGCCCTTGAAATGACCCGAATCAAGCGTGGTGGAATAACATATCAGGTAGGATTTATTTTATTGTTGCTGCTCTGCTGAAGCAAAGACTTTGTTTCACTACATAGGGCCGAAATTAATCGTTATATATTGTCCTTTCTCTCTCTCTCTCTCTCTCTCTCTATATATATATATATATATATATATATAAAAGGTTTTCAAAAAAGTATTGACCATTTTCATATTTAAAGGCCTTAAAGTCGTATAGCTGAAATGGTGTAAGTCTCGGATCAAAGTTAGTGTCATTTGAAAACTGAGGTTTGGCAGTATTGGACACGCTAAAATAAAGCAAAATTTCGCTATATATTATAATCAAAGACATAAGTGCTGACCAGACTCATACAAAAAAGAGTTATGCTGTTAGTAGTCAAGATGCGTTATTGAAACGGCCTGAAAATGATTCTGCCGCTTTCACTCTACAAATTCCAAAGTGAAGGATGCTTCTCACAGTAATTGACCAAATACAGAAAAAGTTAATAAAATGATTGTGAAAATTGACGCATCAGTAACCGTGACTAGTATTGCCTAGGAACCAAATATCCTGCACCAAACGCTTTTAAACTGTTTAAAGAAAGCTGGCCAAAAAATCTTATGTTTGGGTGCCACTTGAATTGACGCAAAAAAATCATTCTATTATATTTTCATCCAAGAAATTTTCCAAAAACGGAAAGGGGCCACTTTTGAAGCGGTTAGTTGCAGGGGTAAAAAGTGAATTGCATAAAAATGTGCATATAAATAATAATGTGCTTCACAGTCTGTGGTAAAGTTTAGACTGACACCAACGAAGGTAATGTTGTGCTGTTATTAACTAACAGGCCATTGGAAAAAATCCACTGCGAAGGCGTCAAACAGACGTCATCATCTACCACGATAATATCAGACTAGATCTATCCTTAGCTATTCAACGAACACCGAGAAAACATCGATGAAAAAAAGCCGCCGCCGTGTAGTCTGGATTTCGCACTATCAAACTATTGTCTACTTTGATCTCTGTTAATGGATGCAAGAATCACTTATTATAAGATTTCGCTTGGAAACCATAAAAGTTCTACACTGATATTATTATCATGATGACATTATTTTAAAATATAACAAATATTAGCTTCAATTCTGGGTTAAAACCATTCAATGCTTTCTTGACAACCCTATATATATATATATATATATATATATATATATATATATATATAGGCGTTTACACAATTGATAGACACGACGCAGGGCTAAGTATTTACTCTGTCGTGATCTCCAAGTTGCACAAACTTCACATAAATAGCAAAATCTTACTTTAGGTATGCAATTGTCAATTATTATGAAATGCAAGACATTTTGAAATAAAAGAAAAGGACAAATTAAGTTCGCTAAAAAATATTGACTTTCGAAGCGCCGCAGCCGTCCTAAATTTGAGCAAGTTGAGTTTTGTACAGCAAGTTCCCATACTGTTCGTAGATATAGTACTTATTTTTAAAGATGCATTGATGCACGCGACAAGGTACTAAAGGTATTGTAAACAAAAGCAATATTACATGTTTCCTAAGGGTCTATTGCGCTAATCCTAAGAAGTTAATGTTATGATGCGGATGATATAAGAAGGTTTCGAGCTAGAAGGCCTAATATGATAGCCTACTTGCCAAGCACTCGAAAAAGTCATATATGCTGTGGCAGAACGATCAGTTTCCTCAAAGTGTTCCTTAATTATAATGCGTATGTTTAGACCCATGCGTCCCTTATATGTACCCAGAATAGCTTCCTTTGGCTGAAAATGAAGGAATCTTCGTACCGATTAAAAACTGAAAAAAAAAAAGAACAGCGAGATCGATTGAAAAATATTAAAAAGTATCTTAAAGGTAGCAAACGGAAGATTAAGTAATATAAAATTATAAATCGAAGATACAATAATAGTAATGATCTTTTGGGGCTCATAAGAATTGAAACTCGACAAATAAACAGGTAAATTGTAAGAGATAAGAAAAGAGAGTAAAAAAATTACTTGTAAAGCTTCTACTTTTTAGGCAAAGTGGCTCGGACGACTAAACTTATAGGTGGGCAAGCCAACAGCTTATGCTTAGCAAGCAACATCTTTTAGCCGTTTTTATTTTTAGCGGTGCAGTAATTATACAAATCAGGTAGCATGGTGAGCCATTAAGGACCTTGCTAGCTAATCTGTTAGTGTTAATAGATGTTCAAAGGAGTTCACAGACTGGTAACGAAAACAAGTATTCAGTGTGTACACATTTTTGTCTCACTTGGGACCTGTAAATAACTAGTTCCCCTAAATGTAGTTATACAAATCATACTCCGATGTAAAAAAGAAAAATGAAGAGCTTCTTCCGACGGTTTCGTGTAATTTTCATTATTCGGCTTCATTTACAGGTGCCCGTACCTGTGAAAGATAGTCGTGCGCGATTACTGGCAATTCGTTGGATTATCGAAACAGCAGCGGATAAGGAGAGACACGTCCGCTTTTCGGATCAGCTTGCCAAGGAATTGGTCGACGCCTCACAGAATGTCGGCCGAGTTATTCACAAAAAGCAAGAGATGCACAAACTTGCCGAAGCAAACAAGGCCTTCGCCCATTACAGGTATGTTAGTCGTGTTAATACGATTACCTCAACCGTTCCAGTTTTCCCAGTGATGCTATCACATGCATAAATATTATAATTTGTTTCGTGTACACATTACTGCTACACATTACCCCTTACGATTCACAAATGCCTGACTGTGATCCTGTCATATCCCTGACACTAAATGTGTGAGGAAATAATGTTTTTTAACAAGTTATAAATTGCAACCCCCAGCACAAACAATCACTGCCAGAACTTCACCCACATTTTAATATAAGTAATCATCATTTTAATTCAGTAACGCCTATTAAATCAACTTTGACGGGCGGCTAATGCCAAGGCTCTTATAAACTTAATTTGTATCTAGCTTTTAGTATGAACGATCAGGGTGATACGCAATGCAGAGACGGCTGACTCTAAAGCGAGAGCCTTCAATCTGGAGTTTCACTATCGCCATCTTTGCAGAATGCGCATTTGTTCAGAATGGTATACAGTAACGCCTGAACGTATCCAATCTGTTACGAATTAATATTACAGCAACTAGAAATCAACCCTAGGTCTCAAAAATGTACATTTCTTTCGGTTTCCAGGTGGTCGTAAAAAGTTAATTATATTTAAGGGACGCACGCTATCCGTCGATGAATTACCGTTGGCTTATGTAAAATAGATGTTGCATGGTGGCCTTTGCTTATAGATATATGCTGTAGTATTTTGAAAATAATGCAAATAAACGTATATTAGTTATTATATGTACTCTGTGTAGTAATAACTTTTGATTAAAATGCCATCTATTCAATGTGTACTCAGTTTATTAGCTTTAGTTATATATATATATATATATATATATATCGCTTTCTTTGTGCTTTGACACAGAAATCAAGTATTGGCATTCATCCCGTTTAAATGTGCCTTAAGATTTATTTACCAAATGAACGAAAATTATTATTGGCTTTTCTGCCTTTGCATTTCCACAAGTGATAAACACCATGTTTTTAATTGTCAAAACGCACTGCACCGTATCCGGCAGCAAGAAATCCAGGCTCACACGCTAGAGAATTAAGTGGAAACGCCTACTATGGGATTTTAACCTCACTGCTACATATGATAATCTTGTCAACTTCTAGTAGTAGCAACAATAGTAAAACCGAGTGGAACTGCAATAAACATACAGGTACATACAAACTATCGTCAAGCGTTCATTCTACTTATGTATGTATAGCGTGTATTTACCTTTATCTTTTTTGTCGAAGTCATGCAAGTAAGGAACGCACTTGTTAATGCGCAGCAAGGGATCTATACAGGAAGTTATAGGATTCGATGCGTTCACGAAGGGAGGTGGTTCTTGAAGGGGATGGGAACGGAAAAAAGATCGTAGTGCGTAGCGTTAGGCTCTAGCGTCTTCACAGTATTGATACGAAGTAATCCGTCGCACGAATCAGCTACCACCTCTTCGGAATATTTACTCTGTATGAGGAGAGAAACAACAAATAAACGCGAAACAGCCAAAAAGCGAGTCGTTCTTTAACAGTACAGTCGACGTTAACGAGGAAACAAAAGAGAAACGGCGTTACGGACTGGAGATAGTTGTTCATTGAAAGTTACTGAAGGTTAGCACTTTATGCGTGCGCGATCCAGCCACAACCAATGAAACAGAGGCTCAGGTGATCTTTGCCGCGTAAAAAACAAACCGAGAATACTGGGTATGCCTCAGCGAGTACTCTCGCTCCATCTTGCGATACCGTCCATGAAGAATTGAACTTGCTCAATTTATTTTAGTAAGTTCTGTCCTCGAAGCCCATTCACCAAAAACAAGGTTGTGCTTCGACCTGCACTTACCCTCTCTCCCCCTCTCACTCTCTAGCACACAGGTGCACCAAAAGCGTGAATCTGTTTTTCTTCAAGTTTAACTAGCTATGAACTGTAATAATTAATTGATTTCCATTTGACCAGGAAGGGTCTGTGTGTTGCTCATAGGGCCCAACCAGGATCGTCAGAGTTGTAAAATTCGTAAACCAGTTGAGGGAGGTCTTGAAAACGTAACCGCACGAATTACTTTGAATTTATGTCGAAAAATTTGAATTGACCGCCACCGCGTCAGAAGCAAAGAATCTCTAGGCGGTGATATTGGCAAGAAACAGACTTCGAAAATCACAAATACGATACAGGTCTAAATAATCTGTGGCGCTACCGAGGAATGACGGCTGTGATTTTAGAGGTTGACGGGTTGGTTAAGATAGTTTTTTTTTCGGAAAGACTTAAGTAGGGCTAGAAAATGAACTAATGAACCAATTAGCTTGGGTGAACTTTTTCTACCTAACAATACTTTAACTGTACAAATGTAACTAACGGTGAACTTGGACTCGCGAAGTTTCACCAAAGCATTGCGCTGAGAAAAGCGTATGCTGAAAAGAAACCCGATAAAGAGCTTTCTACTCGTAAGCCATTTTGTCAAATTTCTGATTTGCGTGTCATTTCTCAAGCCGAAAAGAACATTTCCGTGCCTCGTTTCCTGAAATAGAAGGTTACAGTATCTGATAATGCTTAAAACCCTTCGCGCGACCCTTTGTGCGACGTGTTGCTTGTTGTGTAACCGGCCAAGCTCGTACACCTCTTAATCCAAATTTAACAGGAGATTATTGGACACACACATATTACAGTGATTAGGTTGCTTTTACTTAACGAACTTCTATGCGTTTGTTTGGCGGGACTTTATTTTGTTTTTGGCGGTCTATTATCCCTACAATTAACCAACTACCAGTCGCTTGAAACCGCAACACATAACAATGGCCATCAGTTTGTACCCTGTAGATTAACAGAATCTAATGCAATTTACCATTGTCTGAGTCACCGTCTCAGAGTTTGACTTCAGCTCGAGAATCTTTTTTTCCTAGTTACCGAAGCGTTCGACAAGAGAGTTGGAAAATCGAATCCTTCAGCAACAATCCATGCTCTGTTTCAGTAGCTTGTCTATGAACAGTAGGCTTTCAGTAATTGTTTCCAATTGCTTCGGGAAACTGTTACTCCAATAAGCACATAGCTACTTGGCGTTAGTAACGTCATGAAGGTTTTAATTGACTTGGTCTAGCCGACAGTTAATGTTGCGACGCATAATATTAGATAAATCAAAGTACATGTTTGCAACGCTTCAGATTACAGTGGCCTGTGAGACGCATGATCGATGCAGGCAGACACGTCAGTACGTCATAAGCGGCTACAACGACACAATCACAGATATTTTTTGATAGCTGCCTTTGAGGTCTGTTGAAAGATTGATCGCCTATGAACAGAGTGATAAAAAGACGCGGGATAGCAATGCTCCTGGATAACCCCAGCGTTCTTTCCTCCTATCAGGAGACTACTGGTGTCATTTGGGCAGCAATAAACGTTAACGTTAATGTTATCTAAAAAAAGCGAGGAAACGGCCGCTGTTTCATGAAGAAGGTCGTGAAGGTATGCATTGTTGGTTTTCACATGCAAATCGTACTGATAAATGTGCTCGATGTCGAACTTCTTAATGATACTTTAGAATCGTTCGCCCGTAAAATCAGGTATGGTTCTTCTAGCTTTATAGTAACTCCTGTGTGAGGGAGCGGACATCGCGATTTTACCAAACCTCCCAACATCAGAGGCGGATTATTAGCAGTGACCGGCTACAACCGTTCGAGTTCCACTAGAAATGATACGTTTCGACATTTAGCGACCAATGCCGTCGGCAAGTGAAGATTATTATTATTGATATAAGATTTAAATTGCGTGAAAAGTTTTCTAAAGAAGTAAAGGCCGGTAACAACGATCAACGTATCACATATTTCTGCTTCTAATACCTTGCATCATCAATGTACAGCTTGTACACCCGGCAACGTTTAGTATACGTGAGTTATCCACGGAGTCATTGAATGAGATACTCGGACGATTGCATTGTGTCAATATCAAGGGCAGTAATAGCTCCCTGCATTATCTTAACTTAAATGGGCAACTGCCGCTTAACGTAATGTCAATGTGCTTATTGAAAATGGCGGAATTTTACGGAACCGGTGACGGTTCCATACTCAGTCGTTAACTGAATCCGGAGTGGGTAAAGCAAAGCGCTGGAGGTATTAATGCGTAGGTGACGGATCTCATCTCTTAAGAATAAGTAATATATATCTTCCAGAAATGAAAGCTGTACGTGTTAGATTAGCTCCAAAGTGGCGTCGAAGTGGTATATCAACTATCGGGTCTCGTTCGTACGATTTGTACGAATTGGGGGTTTACCCAACAAAACCAACAAGAATACTCCATCAAGATAAACATACACAACCGAACGTAGCTGACTACTACTTTATGAATAACTGGCGCCAAAAAAGTTACTAGAATAGCTTAAATTGTGTCGTAAATATCGGCAGGCAGTGGAGCTATGGAGAAACTCGTGTTTTTATTAAATTATATTATTCTCTATTGTATGCACTGCTTATGCATGATTTAGGACATATGCATAACGCGCATTATGCAATTACGAAACCCTGATACCTCGTCTCTTGGCGTTGCTTTGTCTTACCATTATATTCAATTTTTTAGATGTCCTTAGTGCGACTTAGGCCAAATTTGCGTTAAGATTGTTAGAGGTGTAGTTTGAAATTGAAAGAATAAATGTTAACAACATAGTTTACGCAGACGGAGACCACGTGGGAACGAGATCGAGCGCATGCATCTTATGGTTTTTCAATAGTATCCAAATTACTTTAGAGTCGTAAGGTATGAGGCATTCTAGGTCAAGGGCAAACTAGGGACAAAAAGTTGTTTAACTTTTATTACAGCCAGTTTGCACGTGAAGGATTACATTTTAGAATTGAACCGCACTTAGAAGAGTAAGCTATCGCTTCAACACCTAAAGGACAACAAATGCTAGATCAAGATCAACGTTTTTCAAGTCAAGAGCCGCTGAATAGCCATCGTGCGTTCATCTATTTGTTGGAATACATCTTTTATCTAATTATTAAATCTATTAATACTAATGGTTTGAAGATCAGATTTATTGCTGCATAAATAAAGGCTACCCATTTTTTTAATTAAGAAAACATGCTGCTTATTATTGTGAAACTTACTTACTTAAAGTTATATCGGTCCTCTGTCAATCAAATGCACCCCCATTAGAATCATATACTTACCTGTCCGGGTAGATAAAACCTGGTTCACAAAAATTTAGGCGGTTCACAAATTTAGGTTCACAAAAATGAGGGAGCCTTTAAATATACATGCTGGTAAAATAACATTCATGAAGTATTTGTGTCTGATATTTTGTTTCTTCTTGCCATTACAAGTCGAAGAAAGTTTTTCATATATATTCTCATCGAGTCCTCGAAATGTGTATCGAGCTGTCGAGAGGTGTTACGTAACGTCAGGACATTCAACGAAAACGACCCGTTTGCGAGAGTTTCTCTACTTATAAAAGTAATTTACTTAATTTAATACTTAATTCCGTGTGCGCTATTTTCAAAATTTCTGTTTTGTCTACTTTAACTACCTCGAACCCTCAGTGCATGACAACCTCAGCTCAGCAGTTGAAACATTCGACAAATGTAATGTATTATGGCAGACAAGCTGGCGTAATTACATGTTTGTAGTTCAGCACGATATCACAGCATAGAGAAAAATGAATTCTAACAAAATTTTCGCTATCTACTAAATGTTCAACTGGGTCGACAGGTTAACATCATTACCTGGTGTCGTCTAAGCATATATATAACTAGCACAAAGAAGGTAGCTTCTTCGAAGTGTATGCTTTTGTAGGTAAGCGGAAATTAATATTTCTTCATATTAGAAAATTCAAGATGTATACCCACTGTCACCGAACAATTTCGTTCGGCATCAACAAGACGCTGGCGGTACCTATTTTGTATCTCTGACGCCAGTGTTTACGCGTCTCAACTTTAAAAATGGTCGATAGCTGTCAGGTAGGAATCGCTGACACCTAACAGATTTCTATGTGACAACATATCACTGTGATGTCTTTTACGCATACATCCCGTTATACATTAAGAAGGTGATATAAATAGACAAAATGTAAATAAATTTAACAACTGATTTCTAAGATTATATAAGTCTTCATTTATCATAGATATCGCTTTATCACATATATGTTTCGAAGATCGAATTGAACC